ACAAACTATGGTTATTCAGACTTAAGTATTAGGCAGACATTTCCTTTTCTTTAAAAGATTTATTTGAGGGGCATCTGGGTGGCTCAGTCGTTAAGCGTCTTCGGCTCAGGTCATGATCCCAGAGTCCTGGGATGGAGCACCGCTTCGGGCTCCCTGCTCAGTGGGGAGCCTGCTTCTCCTTCTCCCACTTCCCCCTGCTTGTGTTCCCTCTCTCGCTGCCTCTCTCTGTTAAGTAAATAAATAAAATCTTAAAAAAAAAGATTTATTTAAGAGAGAGAGCACAAGCAGGGGGAGCAGCAGAGGGAGAGGGACAAGCAGACTCCCCACTGATCTCGGAGGCCGACCTGGGGCTGGATACCAGGACCCTGAGACCATGACCAGATGCCCAACGGACTGAGCCACCCATGTGCCCCCTTGGCAGACATTTTCTTGAAAATGAAGTGAGCCTGTCACTTCAAGGAAAACAGTGGGCGCCCCAGGTGGCTCAGATGGTTAAGCATCTGCTTTCTGCTCAGGTCCGGATCCCAGGGTCCTGGGATCGAGCCCCGCATCTGGCTCCTGGCTCAGCGGGGAGCCTGCTTCTTCCTCTCCCTCTGTCTCTCTCCCTGCCTGTGTCTCAAATGAATAAATAAAATCCTTAAAAAAAAAAAAAAAGGAAAACTAACAGTAGCTGTTACCAATGATAAAATGCAGACTGGGCTTTTAAGCAAAAAGTAAAATTTTAGAAAATTTGTATCCATCAACATGAGCTTGACAGCCTCACAATACCTGAAATTTTTCTGATAAAATCAATGGTGATATTAATAAACATGATTTTTGATACTGTATAACGAAATGTGCCGACATTTGGAAGATCTGCATAACTCAATAATAATAATAATAACCAATCCATCATGTTACAAGATCATGCAGCACTGGTAAAGAATCCATTTGAACTATGTACCCTGTACTCTATAGGTACCATGTACCCCATACTGGAATACAAGGCTTAACTGGAGGTGCCATGTTTTCAATGGAGTATCAACATACTGGAGCACATCCAGAGGGTCCCATCAAGAACATTTTAGAAATCATGACATGGGAAAAACTTCAAAGAACCAAGGACATTCAATTAAAAAAGACAACTTAGGTCTTACAGCTGTTAGGTTCTATCAAAATCGAGCAATCACTTATTTCGTGGCCTGAGTATGCAGGTCTAACCAGCTGTACAAATGAAATGCAGAGTCATGACATGCTCTCCTACCCAACCCTCTCTTCTATTTCTAGGGGGAGCTGGAAACTGGATGATGGGAGTCTAAACTAGGACTGATACCCCTCCCGCGCCAATGTTTTACATGTTCCAAGTTTCTGGGAAGACTACTTGAATTTGCGTGATGTCCTCCCAGAACACTAAAGGTTAATTTCAAATAGAAATATTAAGAAAGTTTTTAGAAATCTCAGAAGCACTTACACTGAATATTCCAAGCATAAATTCTGCAACAAACCAATAACCTTCAAGAACAAATACTTTATACCTATAAACTGAATAGATTTCGCTTACTTGGCTTTAGAAATACAGCCAAGAAAGTAAAAACTCACTCGTTAACTCAACAGAACTTTTCCCATTCTTACTGATGCAAGGGAAATATTTTAAGAACTAAAAAATTATGAATCAAGAGCTACAAATTATTAAGTGTACCAGACACTGTGCTGCATGCTTGAGACATTTCACTGAATACTCCCAATAGCCTTAGAGGAGTTTTTATCTTACATGTGGGGAAAATGAGGCTCAGAGAGGTAAAGTAACTTGTTCCAGATCCCACAGCTAATTCGTGGCTCAAAGCTCAGCTGACACTTGACCTCTGTCCTGTCTGCCTGATTCCAATCCAAAGCTAGGCCTTTTCCCCAAACTGTGTCAGAGGTTCTTGGTAAAACCATGTATTTCATAGAAGATAATGATTTAGAATCAAGCACTGGGAGATTAGGGAGTGGAGAAGAAGATGACAATAACCCCAAACTACTTGTCATTTGGTAGGCAAACAGGATTTTAAAATAAGCTTTTTAATACTTTTATGAATTCTACCATGATCAGTGCAAATAACTACTGTTTTTATACACTGCTTTCCCCTTATTAGTCTTAAAATATGCTTAGAGATTTAGACAGAGATGCCAAGCTTAAGTCTTAAAAAAAGACTCAAAAGTTAGAATTCCAATCCCCGCCCCACCGCCCCGAACTGGAACTTGATGAATACTTAAATGTGTAGTTTTACTACTTTTCAGTTGGTACCATTCTCAGCAATCTCAATTCTTGCTACCTCCAAGTTCCAATCTGATTCTCAGAATTGATGTAAAGTTTTAGGTGGAGCACTCAAAAGCATGTTGTAGTTAGAAATGTAAAAATCACTGTTACTCTCCACTTAATCGCCAATGGCAAATGAAAAATTAAAACCCAGGAAAGAAAATTCAGCAAACTGCAGAACAAATACACTCCAGATCTAGTACAATCAACTACATAATTTGGAATTCTGATTGGACTTGTTTTTTGGGCAACAACGCAGTCCCCAGGTCTCTCTTTGGCTGCCGGGTCATGCCTCTATATGTTGAGAAAGTAAAGCAGTAGCTTAACATTGCTTCCTGACAACAGCATTGGTTACTACATACAACTACAAAATAAACTTACAGGGAACGTATAATTATTAAAACCAAGTTTTTAGATTATGACCGTGCATTTCAAACCTCCTATTTCTTTCGTCTGTGACCCAAGTGGCTTAGAGTTGAGATCTCTTACTTAGCTAAGGTGTTTTAGACTAGAGGGAAAATCTCTTGGTACAAAAGTACCAAACACAGCAATGCAAGACTGGCTTTCCGGAAGTGACAATCTTCTAAAATGCCTAAGCATTATATCTGAACATAAGCAAACAGCACTGAGACATTTGTTGACGTAAAACATAATTCACGTAACAGTAGAAATGATCACTGAAGGTTATCAACTAGCCTACCATCTTGCTAAATTTCAGAGAAACCAGTAACTGATAACTCCAGATCTAACGAAATTAAAATTAACATTGATGCTGGAATAGGAAAGCTTTGGCCCGGACCAAACACTGCATGCCTGGTCCTCTGTGAAGTTTCTGGACCCACTCCAGACACTGTTTACATGAACACACAAACTCACCAATAGGTTTTTAGAACTACTTTTAGGAATCTGAGTAGTTATTTCCCATGTAGTTTTACAGGGATTTGAAGTCAAATGGAAAACAACAAGATCAGATGTAGAAGATTTTTAACAGTAAAGTGACTTTTTATCAGAAAGCTTAGGAGATGCAGAGTGGCTAGCTTATTTTCTCACACCAGTTGTTGGATGGAGTACATCTGCACACATGGCTAACATTTTTTGGCTTTTGATGTTTGAAATGAAGAGCATCGTGAGAGAATTTTGACCACTTGCTATTGTTCAAAGCATCCCAGCTGTCAAAATGTGACATCCACTAAAAGTCTGACTCAAACACCTCAAGTCACCAGAACACTTCGCAAATCTGTCAAAAGGCAGAATAAGGAAAAAAACTCAAACCAAACTCCAAACCCCAGATTCCGTATAATATGACTAACTTATTGTAGTCCCAAACCAACTAAAACTCCTTGGATCTGCTTTAAATCAAACCACTGTTTAAGCGTTTTCCTGGGCACTTCCAAATGTTTCTTGAAACTGGAAAAAAAAAATCCCGGTTATTAAATTTCAAGATGACTGAACTGCAAATTTGATGTCTAGAAACCTACCCCAAAGGCAGTACTTTCACATGTCATCCAACATCTATTTCTTTTTTATTAGCAAATAAAATATTCTTTGAAATAACAGGTGGCTCCACCTTCCCCAACTTCCATGTTCTAGTGTCATTAATATTAGGTACATTCCCGTACCCAAACAAGCCTTTGTTTGAGCCAGTCCCAAACCAAGGTATTAAAAGATCATTCTTCACCAAACAAAGATACGTTTGGGATTGAAACCCAGGAGACTGGACACCTCAGTAGGTACTATTGTGGTGTTATCCTGGGAAAGTAATCCTTTCTGTTAAAAGTACACAATGGCCAAGTGTGTCCTTGACAAACAGCAAGATGTTTATAGCCTATCTTCTAAATTCTGTATGAGGGAACTTGTATTAAAAACACCAAAAACCTAGTACGGATTCCTGAAATTAAACACTATAAGCTTCTTATTCACCAGTCAAGAATTTCTCTTTTAAACGAGGTGTCTCAATTATATATAGTCTGTATAAGACCAAAATGAGAACGAGGCTAACTGCGATTCCTTCCCCAGGTCAGAAGGAGAAACTAGGGAGAAATAAAAAATTTTCTGCCGGCAAGCACGCAGCACCTGTCAATAAGGCACTCTGACCCAAGAGACAGCAAAATAAAAAATGCTATTATGTATTTCCTTTTCGGACCATTCCCGAGCTCTAGCCGCCAAATCCCTGCTTCACACGTAAGGGAAGGGACTCACCCCTCTCTCGCCCTCCCGACCTTACCCAGTCCGCTAGCCTCCCGGCGAAGCAGGCCAGGGAACCTGCAGGTCAGGCGGACCACAGGAGGCCGGGAACCCGACCGAGACCCGAGCGGGGCAGGCCGCGGCCCCCACCCCGCGTTGCAGCAGAGCCCCGCGCTGGCCCTGCCGTACTGGGGGATGGGGTTGGAAGCGGGAGCTCGTCCTCCGGGGCGCTCAGTGCCGCTGCGGCCTGGCCCTGCGGCCGAGGCAGGGCAAACACGACACGCTGTGGGCGGCAGGAGACACAAGGACGCATTTGCGCCGCAAGCAAGACACCGGGGAGCCTAACCGCCGCCGCCCCCTCCCGGAGCGCGCCATTTCCAGGCCCCGGCCCTCCAGGCGCCTCTCCCAGGCCTCCGCGGGCCCAGTCGGGCCCCCTACCGCCCGCCACCCCGGGTGAGCGCGGGAAGGCCACCGCCCCGGGGCCCCTGACTCCGCCCGCCCCCCGCGCCCGGCCGGGGCCCGCGCACGTCCGCCTCACCCTCTGCCGCCGCCGAAGCTGCTGTAGGCCCGATCGTCGTAGGTATCAAAGTCCGCCATTTGCCGTCTCCGCTCCGAGAGGAACCAGGGTGAGCGAGGAAGGACCCCGCAATATAACTCCCCCCCGCCCCGCCGCCGGGGCTGTCCGCCGCGCCGCCTGATCGCAAATCGCACGCACGCACGCGCGCGCGCGCGCACGTACGCCG